TTTTTTTTTAGAAAAATTTGATAGACTTGTTATGCTTTATTTTTTTAAAATAATTTTTAAGCACACATAGCTACAAATTACAATTGAAATTTTATATCATTTTTTTATTGTACTACAAATAAATGCTTTACAGAATTTGCCTTTTCTGCATTGAAAATTTTATTTAGAATTTTCTGTTAAATGCAGGAAATTTCTCTCCAATTTAAAGAAACTTGTTAATCTTTTTCGTGTTCTTTTTATAAAGTATTTAAATTAAAAAAATAATAATAATAGGTAATAATTAGTAGGTAATAAACGTAGCATAAAATGAAAAGTATTTGTTTTACACAAAATAAATAAAATTTGCTCTAAGAAAAAGTAGTGTAACCTCCCCCCCCCAAAAAAAAAGAATATCATTTTTTAGCCTGGTTTGTAGAGCGTTGGGCACATGTTCTAGAGAATATTAGTTCCATCCCTGCAGGCCGAAAACTCCCCAAGTACAAAATGGTGCCTGGTGAGCGTTAAATCTATCGGGGTCACAAAATCCTCCAAGTTCCCAATAAAAATCAATACCACTGGGGGTACTGGACTGAAGATTAATCGTGCCCTAGTTCAGATCAAAATTACGATCTGCGAATGGATGGATGGTGTGAGAATGTGTCCTCCCTGTAAATTGCATGACGTATGAGTGTGGTAAAAGTCGAATTCTTGACTATAGATGGCGCCTCTAGAAAGCAAGAAGAAACGGGCCCCTCTGCCTTAAAAATAGGCTTGTCAGTTTTGACAAGTGGCATAAGAAAACAGTAATAATTTTTTTGCAATCACCTATTTAATGTAAAATAAAGTGATGCAACAAGCATCTTATAATAAACTATACGCGACATCATTGCAACGTATTTTTTTTATAAAGAAATAGCTTTTGCACTCCTATTTTTTATATGCTTTTAATTGCCTCAACTATTTTTTTTTTCAGAATAAAAATTTATTAATAATAAATTAATATTTACTTAAAATGTCTTCATTTAGAAACATCCTGAATTCAAGTATGAGAGGGATGATAAATGAATGATTTCGATAAATTTATAGATGAATTGGTAAAACGTACTCGGGAAACAGCCGATAGAATTTTCTTTTTTTTTTTTTTTTGACAAAGNGCCCCCCCCCCCCACTATATTATAAATATATTTCAATACTTTCAAAATTGGATTTTTGAAAAGTACATGTTATTGAAGAAAAGTCGTAAATTTTGATTTGAAATGTTTAAAAATTTATTCAAATGAAAGTATTGAGTATTATGTGCGTCGGCATTTGTTTATCTTTTTTTGACAGGTTTATAAAAATTTTATTCATTCAAAAATTTTGAAATCTTGCCTGCTGATATATACATTTTAAATGGTTTACGGTTTTATCAACCAGCTCCAATTTAAAATCTGTGTTAAAATTTTAAAAATAATCCTATTTATTTTATTTTCATGTAAACCATTATTCATTTACTATGAAACAATCTAGTTAATCTATATTTATTTTTTTTACATATTCATATACATTTATTCTAAATTCTTATGATATTCTTGAGTACGTATTTTTCTAAACGAATTAGAACACAAGTATTTATTGAATGAATTTCAATAAACATCACATTTTAAGACATTAATAAAAATTAAATGTCTACCTAGTGGAAATTAAACTTAACTTTTATTGATAACGCTTTTTATTTTTATTTCTTATAAATACTATATGGAGTTATTAAAATTCTAGTGAAAAAAAACTACATTTTTTAAGGTAAAAAAAATTTAACTTTTCCATCTTTGAATAAGCTTACTTCATTGAATTTTTTTTTGTTCAATTTAGGTGCAAACAAAATAATAAAAAAGTTATTTCTCAACCTTGTTTCTGCTGGAAGAAGAATTAGGGAATTAAAATGTTTGTCAAAATGTTCAACAGATGGCGACACTATAACATTCTTAAGTAGAGATCTAGAACAATACATATTGCTTGAATTCCAGCAGGAAAGCCAAAACTACTTCTAGACTACCCCAGTATTCTAGATCACTCTCTCTCTCTCTCTTTTTTCATCTTTTTTTTTTTTTTTTTTTAAAGAAAAATTGAAATTACAACTGGATAGAGATTGCATGCGAAAATATTGCTTCGTTTTATGCTAGTTATAAATAATTTTAACTGTTTGTAAATGGAAAAAAAAAAGAAGTCTTTTTAACTGCATTCCGAACGCATGAAAACTAATGTATTCTCAATGTTAGCAAAAATGTAAGAAATAATGAAACAGAAACAAAATGTACTAAAAAATGCATTATTAAAAAAAAAGCTTGAAAGAGAAATTATTTTATTTTTACTTTAGATTTTTTTTATTGTAATTATGAAAGAGCTTATATTTGCATAAATAATAAAGTAATTATGCTTTATTATTTATGTAAAAACTTTTTTTCATCCATTACAGATTTTCTTTTACATAGCATCACGCTTCTAAGTCCTCTAATTCTGAAATAAACGAAATCATACGGATCAGATAAAATCTTTTACAGCTAAAATAAAATGCATTGAAATTATAATGAAGTCCACGTCAACGTCATCAAACATCGTATTTATCAAACATGCTATCAGCTTTTTTTTTTACTGTAATTTTCAAATATTTTTTCAAGAATAGTCAAAAACTATTTCGATAACATTTTTTTTTATTGACAACGATATAGTTTTAAAGACAGAAAATTTGGATAATAGATACAAAGAAAAGAAAAAAAACTTTTTCTTTTTCATTTATAATAGCATTATAGTAAATAATAGTAAAATTCTTCAACAGTAAAATTTTCTCTTTTAATAGTAAAATTCTCTTTAAAAGTAAATAAATAGTAAATCTCAATAGTAAAATTCTCTCTGCCAGGTCAATTGATGAAAAAATTAAATATTTCTGAAGTCTATAATGCAGTAAGGTATAAATATTTAACATCATATAGCAAGTTAGGCATATTTACATCAATTCAGAAAAATTGTAAAAACATTTAAGGATAAAATAGTTTAATCAGAAAACCTCAAACAGATATAAATAATTTCAGAAAATGTTTTACTATAATGTTATATAATATGCATGTATGAACCATTTTTGGCACAATTTTCAATCTTTTTTTCCATATAAAGATCAATGTACTATACAGTAAATTGATCTCAATATACTATGCAGTATATTCTGATGTGCGACAAATACATATACAATAAATACTCTGCACTTTTTTAAATTCATCCTTTTAAAACTATGGACCACCTTTGCGTTTCAGTGTATTTATCAAGCTTTATAATTTCTTAACTATTCATAATATATGCGTATTGTGTAGGAACCAATTTTAAACAATGAACTCTAACATATATGTAAATAAGCACAAATAGTTTCTGATAAATTTCTCATTCTCAATTTGTCAGAAATTATTTATGCACCATCTGTACAAATGAGAGCTTTGAAAAAACAGAAATAATATCGCGAAACTAATTACTAATTGATTTTTAAAGAACCAATGATAAAAATTGGAACCTTAACTAAACAGAAATCATATTTACATACTAATTACTAATTGCTTTTTGAAGAAACATTGAAACAAACGTGATAATCGAATAAGGAGAAATAATTTCTACAGACTAATAACTAATTGCTTTTTGAAGAACCAATTGAAAACTTTAACTAAACTTACTTTAACTAAACCTTAACATAACAACTGGAAACCTTAACTAAACAGAAATAATATTTAGAGACTAATTACTAATTGCTTTTTTAAAATATAAAACCGATACAGGTGTCGAATATTTCTTGAACGGAAAGCTTTCAAAATGGTTAAAATTGACTTCCGTGATAAAACTAGTTATTTAAAATATGCCTGGGATAGGACTAGAGATAGACAATAAGTTCAAATGTCTTTATTTATTTATTTTTTTTTAAATAGGCGGAATTGAAATAATGATAAAATTTTTTGTAAACCAACGTCATTATTTAAAAACACTTTGTTTAAATGAAACATCGGCACAACCTTTGTTACTCATTTCTTAATTACTCGGAATTCTTCGAATGCTTTGAGCAATGGCTGTTAATGTTGGTGCTTCAACAGAATACGAGACATGCGAGAGGATGTGACTTGTTAGCCCTGGTTCATTGCGCAGCATGTTAGCCCGAAATCCATCTACATCTATTCAACTTTCCTGTAGACTCTAAGCGAATCTTTATAGCCGTATTAAAACTATTTCACCGACTCCGATAAAATGAATAGATTTTTTTAAATATATATTTTTTATTTTTGAAAATTCAATAACATTTACAAATTGTTTTTTTTTTGGGGGGGGGAGCGAAAAACTGATCTAAAACGCCGGTAACACTTGCAACCATTAAATTACATTTTAAAGCTTATCTAGGACGTTTTAACTTAAAAAACAAATGCTTCCTTTCCATTTATTTAAGAAAAAAAGTTATTTTATGGTATTACTGAATATAACTAGCATCTAATTCGCTTTTCAGACTTAACAATAAAAAGAAACCAAATAATTTAAATAATAAAATTGTTTAAAATTTTAGCAATTAAAATAATTAAAATATTATTTAAATATTAATAAAAATCCTTCTAACTGCTTAAAAAATGTAAACTTTTATAAATTTCGTTGAAAAAGCTTTTAAATGTGGGCCATTTTGTGCATCATAAATGCGATTGTCTTTCCCAAACATACATAGAAAATATTTTATTACTTTTGAATTATTCTATAATATATTATCAGATAAAACTTTAAATATGAATTATAACTTATTTGCAATAACAAAATTAAGTATATAAATTCGGAAATCAAAAGTTACTGAATGCTAACATAAAAATTACTGAACAATATTTTACAAAAAATTCATAACCATTGAAAATGCAGTTGCCTCAAAATTTTGTCTACTATTAAATAATTCTGTACCACACACTCTGCAGATTTTAGTATTTTTTTAAATTTCATACCCCAAGAAACATTGAAATGATATTCCGTATCCTAAAACACACAATATTTCGAAAATCCAGTAGATTCATACACTATGTTCATTTTCGAATTGCAGTAAATACAGGTATTCTTCTGAAACTTTGAACTACGGCTGCTGGTGGAGGTGGTAGAGCGGAATAAGGCGCATCAGCAGGTACATGACTTGCAAGTCCTGGCTCATTGCTCAAAATATTGGCACGAAATCCATCGACACCAGCATTGTATTGAACTCTCCTGTACACGCCATATGGATCCCGGTAGCCATAACTGCCAGTAACAAATCCATTTTCATCAGAAGATTCATGTCGATACTGGGACATTCCCAATCCATCACCAAATTCATAACCATAAGTAAAAGGTTTGGTAAATTGTGCAGGCTGCTTGAGAACTGACTGCACTGGTGTTTGCATATGCACTTCCACAGCAAGTGCTGTTACCATCAATGCTATTAGAAAACGTTTGCTTACTGAAATAACCATTTTTCTCCTGTACGTCTAAGAAGTGAGTAACGTTAAGCCGTTCTAAAGTTTCAGTTTTATATTTTTCGGATTAAAAATATTTCTTGGTAACCTGAATTCTTGCTTCATCATGAATTTTAAAATAAAAGTTTTCTTTTGAGCTTCGAAGAAGCATGACCGGAACGAAGAATTCAAAAAGGAGAGAATATTTAAATTGATAAAAAATTTCCTTTTCACTTGAAAGTAAGTAATTTCTAACACTTTATTCGAAGTATTATTAAGGTCTATGACTTATGTTAATAAGAAAAATATTTAAAGCAATTGTAATGAATTATGTACTACACGATGAGAATTATATCCGATACGATGATGATCATAAACTATACGCTGAAGAATTTTAGATCATATCACGAACTTAAAAAATCTGATATACCATAATTTTTTTATAGTAATACAGTGAAATAGCTGAATCACTCTAATTAAATATGACTGTAGAAAGTAAGGTGAAATGGTTTGTGGTGAATTTTACTGCAAAATGAATTTGATGCACCCAAAGTTCTGGTACTTTCTACTGTAATTTGATTCGTAATTTTTCACAGTGCACTCAATATTCATTACTTATTTATTGATATTCGATGCCTTAAATCTGAAACTTGTGAGTTAATACTTGAAAAACAATCAGATTAATATTTTTTAAACAGTATTGTTACGCTTTAAGTATTTTTTTTTTTAACCGTGTGATGAAGTTCTATCAAAAATAATTTTACCATTCTTTCATAATCAAGAGAGATGCTGAAGATATTCTGCTTCAATTTATTTACTTATTTTTTTGGTATGAAAAATAATTTTCAACACCCTTTCAGAATTCTTAGCTATGTCAAGATTTTGAGGTAAATGGGAAGAATTGTTTTGGTATGCATNAAAAAGGAATATAATTTTTCTATAGACCGAGATAGCTTAGATGGTAGGGCTTCAGGCATATGTTCAAGAGAACGTGAGCACCATCCCAGCCGGTCGAAGACTCCCCGTGTACAAAATGGTTCCTGGTGCGCGCTAAATCTGTCGGGGTCACAAAGTCCTTTAAGTTCCCATTACAAACATATATCTCTGGGGGTAATGGACAGGGGATTGATCGTGCTCTAGTTCAGATCAAAATTACGATCTGCGAATGGATGGATTGCGTGTGAATGTGTCCTCCCTGTAAAACGGGCATGACGTATGTGTGTGGTAGAATTCTTGACTGTAGATGGTGCCACTAGAAAACAAGAAGAAGCACACCCCTCTGCCTTAAAAATCGGCTGGTCAGTTTTGACTAGTGGCATAAGACAGTAGCAATAATTTTTTTGCAATCACCTATTTAATTTTACGTGCGAATAAAATATAGTGAAGGAACACGAATCTTACGATAAATTATACGCAATATCATTACAACGTAAGTAGCAATAAAATATTTAGAGCTTGAATGTTTTTTTAATGTTTTTTTATAACAAAATAGTTTTCACATTACTATATTTTATTTGCAATTAATTGCTTCAACTGTTTTTTTTTTCTTCTTATAATAATGAATAAAAATTTATTATCAGAAATAAAAAGAGTAGCATATATGCTCTAAATGTGTACTACCATTAATAAAGGGTCACGTAAAGGTGAATTAATTTAATCCCTATAAATTAATATTTATTTAAAGTGTCTTTTGTTAGAAACATCCTGAATTCAAGTTTGAGAGGGATAAATAAATGATTTCGACGAGTTTATAGATGAATAGGTAAAACGTACTCGGGAAATAAACGATAGCATTTTTTCTTTCTTTTTTTCTTTTTGACCTGTAAGAAAATGTTTTTTTTTTTTCACTATTTAATGTATTTCAATGCTTTCAAAATTGTATTTTTGAAAAGTACATATTATTGCATAAAAGTCGAAAAATTTGGTTCGAAAAGTTGAAAAATTTATTTAATTGAAAATATTAAGTATAATGTGTAGCAGCATTTGTTTACTTTTTTCGTCGGGTTCATAAAAAATTCTATTCATTAAAAAATTTTGAAATCTTGCTCGCTGATATAGACACCTTTTATAATTTATGATTTTACTAACTTGCTACAATTTAACATTTCTATTTAAATTTTAAAATTTGTATTAAAAAAAGACAAAAATTAGTCTAAAAATAATCGAACATTTTAAAATTATGAAAATAATCCATTTTTATCATTATCATGCATCATCCATTTTATAATCCATCATTTTATTACTATGTAAAACATTATTTATTTACTAGGAAATAATCTACTTCATCTGTTCTGATTTTTTCACATATTCTTATAAATTTATTCATTATTCTTGTGATATTTTTGGGTGTGGATTCTTATAAACGAACTAAAACACAAGTATTTATTGAATGAATTACGATGAACATTACATTTTAAAATATTAATAAAAATTAGATATCTACTTATTGGAAATGAAACTTGACTTTTATTGAAATACAATAACGCTTATTTTTTTATAAATACGTTAATGAAGATATTAAAATTCTAGTGAAAAAGCTATATTTTTTTAAGGTACAAAAAAAAATCGATTTTTTTTTTCTAAAATTATACTTCATCGAATTTTTTTTGTTGTTCAATTTAGATGCAAACAAATTAATGAAAAGTTATTTCTCAACCTTGTTTCTGCTGGAAAAAAAATAAGGGAATTAAAAAACTGGTTAAAATGTTCAACAGATGGCGACACTATATTATTCTTAAGAGAGATCGGGAACAATACATATTATTTGAATTCCTGCAGGAAAGCCAAAACTACTTCTAGACTTTCCCCAGTATAAATAGGTGTTGTTTTTTGTTAATCATTATTTCTAGATCTCTCTCTCTCTTTTCTTTAAAGAAAAATTAAAATTACAACTGAATAGAAATTGGAAGCGAAAATATTGTCTCGTTTTATACTAATTATGAATAATTTTTACTGTGTGTAAATTTAAAAGAAAAAAGTCTTTCTGTGTCCCAAACACATGAAAGAAAATAATGTATTCGCAATGTTAGCAAAAAATGAAAGAAATAATAAAACAGAACCAAAATGTTTAAAAAAATGCATTAATCAAATATAAGAAAGCTTTCAATAGAAATTATTTTACTTTCACTTTAGAATTTTTTTTTGAAAATTTGAAATTATGAAAGAGCACACCATTATGTGTGTAAAAACTTTTTTTTTAATCCATTACAGATTTCTTTTATATACAGAACGTTTATAAGAGCTCTAAATTTGAAATTAAGGAAAATACACAGTTTGAATAAAATCTTTCATAGCTAAAATAAATGCAAAAGTGCATTGAAATTATAATTAAGTCCACATCAAAGTTTTCAAATATCTTATTTATGAAACATGATATCAGCCGTCTTTCTTTTTTTTTAAATGTAATTTTTCAAGAAAGATTAAAACAATTTTTACAAAAAATAATTTTATTAGCAAAGATATTGTAAAGACAGGAAATTTTGATAATAAATACAAAGAGAAAACACTTTTTCTTTTTAATTTATAATTACATTACGCAATAAGATTTAATAGTATAATTCTTTGTCAGAACAATTGATGAAAAAATTAAATAATTCCTAGGTCTCTAATGCAGTAAGGTATAAATATTTAATATCATTTAGCAAGTTAGGCATATTTACATTAATTCAGAAGAATTATAAAAACATTTATTGATAAAATAATTAAATCATGAAACCTTAAAATGAGTAATCTCACAATAAATTTTATTATAACGTTACATAATATGCATGTATGAAACATTTTTGGCACAATTTCGCAATTTTTGTTTCTAGATAAAGATCAATATACTATTCAGTTTTAATACTCTACTATGTGACAAATGCACATACAATAAATACTTTGAATTTTTTTTTTTTAAATGTTTTCATTCTTTAAAATGATGGACCATCTTGGCGTTTCAACTTATTTATCAAGCTTTATAATTTTCTTCACTATTCATAATGAATGCGTATTTTGTAGGAATCTATTTTAAACAATGAGCTCTAGCATGTACAAATTCTACAATATGCAAAAAGGAAAAAAAATTGACGATTGAATTAAACTTGAAAAAAATAAAATTATAAATATCTTAAATTCTACTACTGCAATTGAAACAACGCTATGCAATTTGGAATTTAATCAAATATTTAAGTTTGTTATTAAGGTTATTAATAATTTTTCAATAAAGCATTTAAATGGGTTGAAATTGATATTATGGCAATAGTGCTTTAAAAGTCATGTTTGTTATTTCTTTCTTTCTTTCTTTTTTTTTTTTGTTGCAAAAAGTATATGATATCAATAGCTTTGTTTTAAAAGTAAAAAGTTTGTAAAATAATTTCTTTTTTGAAAATTGGTACCATTATATTTAGAATTAAATACAAGCGATGATTGTAACCAAGCACAAATAGTTTCTGATAAATTTCTCATTCTCAATTTGTCAGAAATTATTTATGCACCATCTGTACAAATGAGAGCTTTGAAAAAACAGAAATAATATCTCGACAAATTATTAATTTCTTTTTCTAGAACCAATGAAACAAATGGGAACCATGACTATACAGGAATAATATCAAGAGACAAATTATTAATTGCTTTTTGTAGAACCAATGAAACAAATGGGAACCATGACTATACAGGAATAATGTCAAGAGACTAATTACTAATTGCTAATTGTTTTTTGAAGAACTGATGAAATAAATGGGAACCTTGACTAAACAGAAATAGTATTTAGATATTAAATATTTATTGCTTTTTGAAGAGCCAATTGGAAACTTTAACTAAACTTACCTTTGCTAAAACTTAACACAACAGCTGGAAACCTTAACTAAACAAAAATAATATTTAGAGACTAATTACTAATTGCTTTTTTAAAATATAAAGTCGATACAGGTGTCAAATATTTCTTGAACTTAAAGCTTCCAAAATGGTTAAAATTTACTTCCGTGATAAAACTAGTTATT